AACAAACTGGAGGTTTTGTACTCCCACAACTCCCCACAAAGAAGTAAACTGTCCACAAATGACGCACTATTCTTGTATAAACACGAAGAGACGCTGCAGACTTTACAGATCAGCACGAGTGAATGTTTGACAGTCATGGGAACAAACACAAACACACATGAAGACAGACGGAGGGTGTGTGCTATATGAGCTTCATCTCTGAACATCTCTGCCATTTCCGCCAAGCAGAAATTCCGCCATGCACTGCCACTATACAGTATATGTAGGGTTTGAATTTAACACTTGCCAACCCGAATCCAGAGGCTGTTTAAAATCCTGCTGCACAACTCGCTTTTTCTTTTTTCTTTTATTAAACTGCATTAACAACGATTTGAGACAAATATTTGTAATCAATGGAGGAAAAGCTTCAATAGATTGATTATCAATATTGATTATAAATTGAATACATGATCGTTAAACATTCATTTGGAAATTAGAATGACATAAATGCTGATTTATAAGAGAAGCCATAGGGAATTTTGTTTTTATTACTTTTGTAATGGTATTCACAAACTGTGATTGACTGTCGTAAAACTGAAAACCATTTCTTGATTCAGAATCAGATTTAATAATAAATACATTTAAATCTAAGCTGTGTTTTTGATAATCTGGTTTAGTCTTGATATTTTGGTTTTGGCTAGTATAAGTTTTGAATGGCCAGTAGCCAAACTGATCAGTGAAAGAGTTAATATATAATTTTAAATAAATGTTTTTTTTGATTGCTCCATTTCATTTAAATGCTGATTCTGTTCATTAAAGAATCAGGAATGTATCACGCTTTCCACAACAGTATTAAGCAGCACAACTGTTTTAACATTGATAACTGATCATTACTATTGAAATTATTACACTGATACTATTGAAAATATTTAATATGAAAACAACATGTTTTTATATCACATTTACTTTTTTTCCTCAGTAAACTATGTATGGGTTTGTTGCAAAGCATCATATTTGGGGGTCCTTGGCATTAAAAAAAATGTGAAACCCCTGATCAAATATCTAGGATAAAGCTTCAGCACTGCTAATGCGCTAACTCACATACATTTAGGCCTGAGAGATCCGTCTCTGACTGAGTCATGTTTAGGCATGCAGATAAGAACACACAGACTCTTTGAGCACTTGCCCAGTTGGAATAGCTTGAGCACCAAGTCATTTTTTTCATTTATAGAGACGAGCTTACTCTAAACTTGGCCCCGCACAGCCATTACATCAGCCGCATTAGGCGTGAGAAATCAGGGTCTGCAGAGCTGAGGGAGGGTAAAGTTTTGTCTTTTGGTGTTCAGTGCGCTCCCCAGTGTCTCTCTTTCAGAAGAGGACCAAATCTGAGCCAACAAGCCATCTCTATCGCCGCTACACTAACACTCTTTGGGACACAGGCTTGTCACGCTATATACCCCGGGAACAGACATATTTCAAACACTGTTAAGAGCTTCCAAAAACCTTATTGCTCCATAAAATCAAATGGGTCCACACCCAAAATGTTTTATAGAACTACAACTGCTGGAGAACACTTAGAAAATGTAGCACATACTAAAAGTAACAAGCCTCCCAGGCTAGAAGATGAGATCTTGGTTTTCTGAAATGCTAGGAAAAGTCTGATATGAGTGTTCTGTCTGTCCGCTCTGGGAAAGAACTCAAACCCCCGGCTATTGGAAACAAATGAGAACACACATTAGCACGGTGCCAGATAAGACCAAATGCAAACTATTATCACAGGGTTAAGTTAAACTGAACATTTGATTAAAACATGTTTGAGTTTCTGCTGGTGAAGTAAAGGAAACACTACCGGTCGCACTAAAGCCTCGTTCGCATTGACATAAGGTCAAGAGACAGACATGTCATGGAGAGTTAGTATGTTTTCACAAGGAATCAGTTTTCTTCATGTTAAATGAATGTTTTATATGGGAAAGTTTTGAATATAACGAGCAGCAAACGTGAACACGATGAGAGGGATTATCAATGCATGAACCAAAAACCATTGGTAGAAGCTGCTTCTTTGCATAAAGTTAAACTTTTCTCAACTTTGTAGACTCGCTGGAGCTCCATCTCCTTCAGCCGGAACTCGAATTGAACATGAATTATTAAATAATTAATCTTTTATGAATGATTTAAAAAGTCTCTGTCATGGTGAAAAGGAGCTTAATTAGGTCTGTTTTTTATTTCTGTGAAATCGGCTAGTGCTGTTGTTGTGTCTTGTCCCGTTCTGTCTCATTAAGGACATTGCACACTGATTTGACTGCACTACTATTCTCATGTTTGTCAGAGAATGACATAGTGAAGACATCTCATACATGCACACAGTTTAATCAACAACCCACACAAACATCTTATCCTACATGACTGTACTTGTGAGGTCCTCACTGTTCAAAAAAAGCCTCACTAATAAAGTGAAACCTGTTGAACACAGTTGAACCTGTTTGACCTCACTAGTTAAAAAAGCTTATAAATGAATTGGTCAAAACATGTACAGTATATATCACTAACCTAAAGAAAAACAATGGAAGACTATGACATAATACAGTGAAACAAACATGCGTCTACACATTTGTTTATGTGTTTATATGGGCCACAGATGTGTATATACATAGAGGTCTTTTGAAATGCTCTTGCCATTTGCTTACCAGACATGAACAGCACTGACATCATACAGTCACCAGATCTATATAATCTGTGTGTGTGTGTGTGTGTGTGTGTGTGTGTGTGTGTGTATGAGGTTCACAACCATGCTGCTATTCAGATCAGCTGCACAATTCTAAGCGTGACATTGCTTAATTATGTTTTTTCCTCTCTTTCTAATACACATGACAGAATACAACAGAGGTCTAGGGTACATCTTCATTTTGATTGTGTGTGAATTATTGTCATGTACATAAATTATGTGACGTGTGTCTTAAAACAACAGCTGGACACTTCACAGGAGCTGCGCAGGAGGAAGAAAACAGATGGGAAGAAGGTCAAAGTGAGTCTTTCACAGATGGAGGAGAGAAGAGAAGAGAAGAGAAGAGAAGAGAAGAGAAGAGGAGAGAAGAGAACTAATGCAACTCATTCTGAATTTTACTTTAAGTACCAAACTAAAATATACTGTCCATACAATATGAAACCATTGTTTTTATAGTTTACTCAAACTATTTTCAGTATGTGATATAAAACTAAAATAAAACAAAATATAATTTTTTTTTTTTATCTAAACTTAAACTCAAAACTTAAATTCAAAATGTTGCCTTGGCAAATAACTGAAATAAAATAAATGTAAGTAATTAAATAGCTAACGAGGTAATAAAATTAACAAAACCTAAATAAAATAAAATGTAGAGTAACTGAGAAAATGAGGGCCTGTCCCATGGCAGGCATGACCTCACAGCTCTTCTCCACAGCCTGAGGGCAGACGAGACCCACGAATCATCTGAGCCGCTCTGATGTCTCTGTGGTCTGTTTAAACAAGAGCGCTGCGCTAATCCGCTCAGATGGGGCCATTGAGCATGAGGCCGCAGTGGGTTTCTATAACACACACACACACACACACACACACAAAACTACACGCATAGCAACACACATACATATCATCCTGGTTTAAGGCAAGATATACACAGGACCCCACACTCTCTTATTTCTCACTTAATTAAAGTAAAATTAAAGATTAAAAGAAATTGCATTTAATTAATTAACAAGACTAAATAAAAATTATTAAATAAAAATAGTGCAAAGGGAGTTGACAAGTATTAACAGAGGAAATAAAGCAGAACATCTAACAACAAGAAAAAAAGTCAATGTTAAAAACAAAACAAAAAAGGAATACACAAAACAAAACAGGACAAAGCAGAAACAAATAAAATAGTTTTAACAAGTAGTAATAAAAAACTAAATAAAGCAAACAAAACAAACAGTTTATAATTAAAAACAATAAAAAAGTAAACCAAAAAAGTAGCTTTGAAAAATAAAATAAAGCAGAACAAACAAACAAAAAACAAAATTAGGAAATTAGAAATGTGGGAAAACGAATAAAAGGAATAAATGGCAAAGGTCTCATTAATTAAATGAGTTATAAAATGAATTTGTTTTATTTTTATCCAAAGTTGTTTTTAAAAAAAACAAACAATTTTTCTCTCTTTCACCATTTTCACTAAATCCCTCCCTGTACTACTTTGGACTATTGTTAGCTCTTCTTGCTTGTTGTATTCCTCATAATTTTGCTTCAGATAAAATAGTAAATGAATAAATGTATCGAAATGTAAATGTAAAAGGGATAAATTAAATGTGAAAAATCAGGGCTAAATGTGCCAATAACACACACACACACACACACTTGGATTGAGCTTTACTAACTGTAGCCTATAGCCATTCACAATAAGGTTGCATTGCAACATACATTTAAATCAAGCCAAAAACACACATCCTGCAGGTACAGAGGAAGCACAGAAAGAGGTGTCCTTTAGATCGCCCGGTGAACTTCCTGTGGATGAGCCAGATGCTGTTCTCTCAGGATTACCAGAGTATATACACAGAAAACCCTAAAGGGTCAAATATCACTGTGGGATCTCAGTCACAATAGGGAACGAACTGTACATGAAATATAAGCAGACACACCCTGACTCACACACACACACACAGTCAAGGTGATACGACACGCAGCTGTTGTTTTTTAAAGGCAGGCAGGAAGAAAGTGAATGAAAGCCTCTGCTTTGTCTGCATTAGCGTACAGATTCTGGCAGCCCCTAGCACACATCCTGATAATCTACAAGACTGCGCTGCCATAAAACAGCGTGCAGACATGTGCATCTGTGTGTGTGATGACAGGCAGACGGTTGTGACGGAGTTAAAGCAGAGGTGATGAGTTTATGTACGGCTGTATGTCTGTGTGCTGACTGACTGCATGGCAGCATATGATTATTCACAGATGTGCACTGTGAAGTTCACATGTAAAATAGTGTGTGCATGTTTTCTGATAAACAGTAACTCACCTGATTGATGTGTTTGAGTTTGTCGATGATCTGGCTGATGATGGGTTCAGGTGGCTTTTGTCTGGATTCTGAGCCGTGTGGATGGACTTTCTTCAGCCCTGGACCAGGAAACCTGCAAAATATAAACACAAATGTCCATTAGTCACATTAAAAACAAAATTACAGGTTTTAATGCACTCTGTCTATGAATTGAAAGTGATATATGGAGATCGGGGCTAGTTGTCGCACCTTTACTACAGTAAATATTTCTTGGGTTGTTTACATTTTTAAAAGGCAATTTCTATGTAAGTACACACATTAAGGTCTTGGCTTCAAAAGCAATTAACATTTAAACTGTTACTGTCTAGAAAAAAATATTTAAACAAAAGTTGAACTGCCACATTACAATATAAAATACTATTTAAGTTTATAAGTTGTCATATTGTATATTATATTCCATTATATTTTTTTAAATCTTAAAAAAAAAAAAT